AATTCCCAGAGATCGTTTTTGAGAACTAATAACTGAATACATAGTTAAAAAAAACAACTTTTTGATGGAAACTTTTATACACACATCATATATAGATACTCGCCTATGTACATGTTTCAGTATATGTGGGTAAAACTTTTCTTGTCACTGGACGAATAAGTTACCAAATAAATTTTCGCAATGTTTACGTCTAAATGCTTGTATGTACGGGTGTAGCCCTTTTTTACAGGAATATTGGATCTTTATCATCTATTGTCTTAATCTATTACATAAGTCTTCAGGAACGGTTTATCTAATGATGTACCAATGCTTCCACGTGAGTTAGCAAGTTCGTTCGGCTCTGCTTTGGCCAGAGTTTAAAACAGCATCTATGTCTATAAATATAGTAGGAAAGTTTGGAGTGCACGCCTCGTATGAAATTATTTGTGCTGCATGACCCTTAATGTCGATGTTATTCGAGCCTACATCCAAAGTCCATCTTCCCTCAAGGCCAACGCGCCTATCTCTAAAATTACCCGGATAAATAATTGCTTCAAATAGTTTATCTGCCTCAGCGCTTGCAACCTTCTTTCCGTATAACCCTCGATTACATAAATCAAAAATATATTCACAGAGTATAAATCTTGCAGCTTCGTGTATTATTTATCAATAAAACCATTTTGTTTCTTTTTTTTAAGTTTGTTCTTCTTTGTTTTGTTTTTTCTTCTTAATGTAGCACAGAATTTGCTTTTATCTATTTTCAAAATCTGCTTTGTTTCAAAGCGAATGTTTTGCTGTATTTTTGAGCAAGTACGAAGATCAAAGAATTGCTATGCGATTCAGTTTTGGATAGTCACCTTCCTGTGATGAATATTTTATTTTTTTATTCGCTCTGTTTTTCTCTCTTTTCTCTCTCTCTCTCTCTCTCTCTCTCTCCCTCTCTCTCTCGTTCTTTCTGTTTCCTTTTGTCTGTCCCCCCCCTTCATTTCCTTAAGTATATCAGCCTGTAATTGTTCGTCTTTATGAATCTACCTTTCTTCACCCTAGTTTCTTTCTGTCTCTTTCTTTCCTCTCTCCTTTACTTTTTCTCAGCAATAACCTCTTCCTTTCACTCTTTTTCTCTACTATGCTTCATTCTTTCTTCTTTTTCATTGTTCCTCTTTATACATATCAGCCCTTTTTCTCAAATATACTTCGTTCATTCCTTTCTTTCTTTTTCTTTATATCCTCTCTTATATCTCTCTTATGTATCTCTCTTTCTCCTTCTCTTTCTCTTTCACTCTCATCTCTGTCTTCTCTCTATATATATATCTACTCTCTCTCTCTCTTTTGTTCCCGCTCCCAAGTTTCTTCCTAACATTGTCTCCTACTTTCCTCTTTTCCTCGATCTCAAACAACATTTTTCGCTTTTCTCTTCTTCTTTTTTTTCGAATCAGGCGTTAATCCTCTTATTTTCCCCAAAAAGAAAAATACCAGAATATCATCTGCAGCGAACATGCTTTAAATTGATGTTTGATTCATGAGTTTTGTGCATTACGTTACATCCTTCTTACCAAATCCTTTCCTTTCATAGAGCCTTGCTCTCCTTTGCCTGCTAAACCTTTTCTCCAGTTTCTCATTTTATCGTTTCAATTCTTCTCACTTTTAATAACTATTTTTTGTTCATTTTTCCTGATTATCATTCTACACGGTTTTTCATATTTCCTTTGGTATTTTTCTCTTCCTTCTTCGCTCGAATTTTCTTTCTATTCTCCTAGTTCCTTTTGACTCGTCCATTTCTCAACTGCTTTTCTTCTCCTTCTTCTTTTTCTTCTTCTTCTTCTCCATCATCATATTTCTTTTTCTGTTTCTGTTTTTTCTTTCTTTCGTTTCTATTCCTTTAGCCATATTCTAATTATTTTTATTGCTTCTCTTCCTTATTATTAATTATTCACTTTCTCTTCCCCTTTTACCTTCCTTTATTTCTCTCTATTTTAACATCATTATTCCCTTATACTTAAGTATTACTCTTTTATATTTAATTCCTCATCGTTTTCCTCCAATATAACATTTTTCTACTCTTCTCTCACCACTCATTTTTATTCTATCTGTTTCAATATGTGGTGGCTATGCAGATGATTAGGAACTCGAAACAAAAATTCTCCGAGTCGAATTCGAATTTCGTTCGAGTTAGTTACATTCATTTTCGCACATATTTCATTGAGAAAGTTATGAATCCATATTTTCACACTTCTCCGGTTATGGGTTAAATAGCAGGACAGGGAGGGTTCTCTAGTCTTGTCTGGCAACCAGTCTAAGAAAAATAAAATTCCAAAAATAAAATAAAATTCAAAAGTTCATTTTCTCCATCAAGACATTCATTTCTGTAGTTCACTGCTACCAGCAAGCAGAAATATTTCTTCTCCTGATGATGGCCATTTTGGCTGAAACTAGTCGAGGAAAATAAATGAAATAATAATAATAAAAACGAAAGAATATTAATCTACAACCCAGTCTGTCTGTTTAATCTTTGAATATTTTATATATATATATATATATATATATATATATATATATATATATATATATATATATATATGAATCGTGGAGTTCATGATGACAATATGACCTCTGACTGTAAGCGATGAGTTAGATGATATACCACCGTACATTTCTCTGCCTTTTATTCTCATTGCTTTTTTCTCTCGCTCTACGTTCGCCTTTCTTCTACATTTTATTTATATGCTTCTTTCTCTCGTTTTTCTTTCTCTTTTTCTTTTTCCTCGTCCTGTCTTCTTTTTTCTCCTTCTCATCATATCTTTGCATTCTTTCCTTTGCTTTTTATTTCAGTTTCCATCTACACATTTCCATTATTGTATTATTATTATTATTATTATTATTATTATTATTATTATTATTGCTTTTTGTATCAATATATTGTGCATTGTTCAAAATCTGTCAATCAAAGCAGTCATCCATATCTTGAGGTTTAATCCATTTCCATGTATATCATGCTTTCTTCCAGTCCAACAATGATACTTACTGTTTAAAATATTATCATATATATATATATATACATATATATATATAATATTTTAAACAGTAAGTAATATATATCATATATATATATATATATATATATATATATATATATATATATATATATATATATATATATATATATATATATATATATATATATATATGATGTGTATTTAGACAGTAAAATTAAAACATATGATTGAATAATATCGACAAGTTCTGTCTATTTTCAATAACTTTTTTCAAATTTCCAAATTAGGTGTTATATATAATCGGTAAAGTTCATTTTTTTTCAAGTACTTTCATATGTTGATACATTTGTTTATAAGGATTTCGTTTTGTGCGTGTTTATGTAATTGTTTGGGACTAATTCTGGCGTAATTTTAGTAGTTAACAGCAAAATATGATAAGGACACAATGCAAAGAAAGACTCAAAATTCTGGAAGCCGTTGTAATATAAGGGAAGCAGCCGACATTAAACAGAATATCTTTTTTCATAGAGGATCGTGTATTGTAGTGTGCATAAAAAATTAAATACGCGTAAACATTGTTGGACCACTATAAATAACGTCACCTTGATTAACTTGAAATTGATTCCAATAGTCGAGGTAACGCCAGAATTAGCCAAAAACAGTCTCGTCTGATTTATCATTGCTACTAGTGAGCAGTTATGAATACTGAGTTTGTAGTAACTGCATTCTCATATTTCTGACCTTGTGCAAAAGCATATTTCAGACCTTGTGCAAAAGCATTAGTCTATAATCGTATATATAAATTCCAAAATGGTTGTTTTAAGGCTTTCGTATATTAAAGTTGATTTTACCCAACGTAATTTAGTATCATTTTTTAATTTTAGTTTTTAATCATCTCTTACTTGCTGAAATAAAGAAGAAAAACAGCAATTATTAAGAATGCAATGTTTTACGCCAGAGTCTCTCAAACAATTGGGGCTATACATTCTTCATGAAATCCTCTTTCACTTCATTCGACCAGGATTTTTTCTTTTACTTTAAAAAGGAATTCAAACAGGAATACATTCAAAATACTTATAGCGTATCTGCCGTGTCAATTCAGGACGTTGTGACCATAGCTCTCCACATCTTCCTGTCCTTTGTAGCTCTTATTAAATATTGACATTTTATTATTTCTCCTAAGCCCAGTTCCGTCAAGTTCACTAAGTATATTATGCGTTGTTTTCTGCTATCTCTTTTGCATTCAATCTGTCATGTGAGTATCATATTTTCCAAGCGTTCTTTCCTCATTATGTGTCATAGAAATTTCAGTTGTCTCTTCCTGATGTTCATTATAAGTTGTCTTTTTGTTTACATTTTTTTCTAAAACTTTGTAGTTGCTCACATATTCGGTCCATGGTATCCTCACTATCTTTCTGTAGAACCACATTTCTGTTTTCTCAAGTCTCTTCTTCATCTGTGAGGAGATTGTCCAGCATTCAATGTCATATAGCAGGACTTATATCACCTAACGTTTCAGTACTCTTTTCTTTAATAAACTGGGTTTTGCTTAGTCTAAAAAAAAACTTATGATGTTCGTGTAATATGACGATTATAGGTACGTAAGATGGAATCGGCGAGCCGAGTTCAATTTCGTGCTTAGTATGCTGCGCCCATTTTCACATTAATGTTCTTGTAAAAGATAAAGTTTCATGTTTTCTTCTTCCCTAACTATGGATTAAGCAGCAAAATAATGTGAACTGAGAGATATAAGGACTACTCTGAATTCAAGCCGTAAAGAAACTACCCGACAAACCTAATCCCTTAAGGAAAATAATTTTATCTTCTCCCGTCTCTTATCTCCCACACACATATAAATAAACAGATACATCCAATTTTTTGATATTCAAAGTTGTGTTGAAAATTTCACAAAATCAGGATTCTTATGTTTGATCATTAAAATACTGATTCTGGGAAGTTGGTTGGGCCGAGAATTAACCAACACTTTGTATATTTACAGTTAATGACGATTTATTATTCTTATCATACATGTCTCTCTGTCTCTCTCTTTCCCACTTTGTCCTCTCTCTCTCTCTATCTCTCTTTCTCTCTCTCTCTCTCTCTCTCTCTCTCTCTCTCTCTCTCTCTTTATTCACTTTCTCCTCTCTCTCACCAGTTTATGAAAACATCTTTAATATTTTCCTCGGATTTGTGATTTGGACGCAATTTCCGTTTATTACTCTTCTTTGACAATAACTAAAACTTTAATTGAGAAATAAAAGGTTCATCTCAAACATAAAAATGTGTAAATAAGCGGACTTTGCTCGATTCTGAATACCATTAAAGTTTTAGCTGAAAGCGCATGATAAACAAACGAAAAAAAAAATGAATGCTGTATCACACTATGTTATTTCGCCAACACACAAAAAGAAAACAATTCCCTGCACGCGATGAAACCAGTTTAAATAAATGATAATCTGATACGCCACGAGCAATGCATTCTTGTATGAATCTAAAATTTATCTCAAATGTTGAGAAGATGCGCCTTTTCTAAGGATTTTAAACCAAAGTTTTCCATCTTAGAGAAATAAGGATAAGGATTTTCAAGAGAATAATCTAAAATGGAAACAGTACTATCCGTTCGATTGTTTCTACTATATCTTCCAAAACTGATTTAACGGAGTAAACCTTAGGGAAAAGTAAACCTTTATTAAATATTCACGTCTATTTATTGAAAAATATTTATTACAAAATGTAGAATCAGTCAGTAAAAGGCATTTAAATTATTAAGCTAAGTCACAAAAAATACTTTGATTCACATGTCATACTTCACGGCATCAGTAAAAAGCATTTAAAACATTGAGGCTTGTAAACAGTTTGTACATCTTGTAAAAAGGAAAAAAAAAAACGATTTCGGCTTCATTTTTTTTCTTAGCATTTCCCAGCAAAAATAGTCACGGTCTGATTATAGCAACCGACAAGCTTGTGCTCTTTCAGAAATGCAGATGTACATTCTTCTCGAGAAATGACAGTTCGGTAAACCTCTTTGGTAAGTATCTTATTATTTATAGAGTTTTTTTTTTCTTTTTTATTTCTTCTCTTTTTTTTTTAGTTTTACTGCCTTACTCTGGACCAATGAGTTACGGGAATGCACATGACTCAAATGCTTAGATCGACCAACAATACAAGAATATAATAAACCTAAATTACTGAGGTAGGCCACATGCTACATTAGCTCGACGGAAACTTATCTCTCTTATTTATTTGTTTATCTTTTATTAGTGTAAGTATGAAACTAAATTCAAATATTCACTGACATATCCGCTGAGAATAAATTGAAAACCCCATGAATATTCTTTTAAAACTATAACTGATGAAGATCTGATATTTACTCCTTAAATGATTTGTTTTTGCTTCACTTTGGCACGATTCTGACCAACTTATATTGAATTTATTTTAGCATAGGTTCATTTTTGCTCGCCAAGTCCCTAGGCCAGACCTTCCCCATTTGCAGGTTGACGGGAAAGTCAACAGTGCACAGTCTTCCATGGATAACACAAAGATGGGATTGACTGAAGTCCAATTATCGTGATATTTCGCTCGCGTCTTCTCTGTGTTTGATTCCTTCGATGCTAGTTGGTTGTCTCCCAATGGAACAAATGTCTCTACATTCGTTCGAAGCACGCACTCACGCATGCGCAATACAAGTGCATTTACAACACACCGTATCGAGGGTTGGGCTCTTGATTGTGCTGCAAAGCGCTCTCCGTTGTAGACGAACTTGAATACATCAAGGAATTGATTTAGCCGTCAGGAGATATCAACCTCTTGTACAGTTTATTAAGTCAAAATCTATATAACTTTTCAATTGAATTACTTTAACTACTTTCTCTTTCATTCCTCCTTTCCTCTTTTTCCATCTTTCTTACTGCCTTTCTCAATATATCGATATATCTATCAAATATATTTTTCTGTCTCATTTTCTGTCTATTTTTTTATCCCCATATCTATCATTTTCTCTAACTTTTACTCTTTCTTCTTCAGTATCTATCTTTCTTTTTCTTAACACCATTCTTAACCTACTCCCTTAGGCTCGTTAGCTTTATCTTTCTTTTATTCTTTCTCCTTTTGTTCCCTTATCTTCCTGGCATCTATTTCTACGCCTTCTTTGAATTATCTATATTTATAGTAGTTCTCACGTTTTTGATATCTCAAAACTCTTTTTTCTGCCTGTCTGTTTGCTTGTTTTTCTGTCTGTTTGTCTGTTTACCTATGTATCTATGCAGGCATGTATGTATGCAGGCATGTATGTATATATCTCTCATGGTTTCTATCTGTCGCTTTACTTTTCATCCCCTATTTGTACAAAGACCTCTATTTCTAACGTGTATCTTTCTTTCTTTTCTTTTTTCTTTCCCGCCCATTTAATTTTCTTTTTTTTTAATTCCGATCTCTCTTTTTGAGTCTGTTTGTCTTTCTATCTCTTTTCTTAACTTTTCCAATCATTCTATCATATATATATATATATATATATATATATATATATATATATATATATATATATATATATATATAGATAACTAGACTCGTTTCGAAAAACCCTCGAATTTTTAATTTGCTAATCAAATCAATCTCGAGGGAAACTTTCCCCTGACGATCCGTTTAGGGTGAAACCTAGGTAGGTTTGTCTGGCTCACTAGGTGTATCTATCTATCTATCTATATATATATATATATATATATATATATATATATATATATATATATATATATATATATATGAATGAATAAATCAAATAAATAAATATAAATAAATGTACGTGCAAATGTTCACATACAAATATTAATATATTTGTATATATATTGATAAATATATATAATACCCCACGCCGACAGTGCGACTCAGAGTTTCACAAACTATGCAATCATCAGACAGTAAGAACTGATCTCAGGTTAATATTTATATTTATTTATATTTTTATTACTGTTGTTAAATATTTAATTGCAGTATAATGTAAATTTGAATTTAAATTTAGTTTCAAACCTACACTTAAAATAGAAAATTAAAAATTAGAAATTCTAATTTCACTTCCAAAAATAACCTCGCTGTTGGTAAATAGACGTTTTGCTTAAAAAATAAGTAATAGTAATATTAATAATATTAATAATAATAGTAGTATAGTAATAATAATTATAATAGGCCACAGTAATAATAATATAATATTAATAATACAATAATAATAATAATAATTAATAAATAAAGAAAATTATATATAAAGTATATATATATAAAATTTATATATATATATATATATATATATATATATATATATATATATATATATATATATATATATATATATATACACCTAGTTAGACAAACCTACCTAGGTTTCACCTAAACGGATCGTCAGGGAAAGTAAAGCCTTACTTTCCCTGACGATCCGTTTAAGGGAAACCTAGGTAGGTTTGTCTGGCTCACTAGGTGTATCTAGGTCTGTTCTACGGTTGTATTGTTAGTTAGTTGTTTACTCGTATCGGGTTTTTTTCTTTGGGCTTCAAACCTGCATCTGTGCGATTTTTTTGTCGGCAGAAGTTCATGTTTGTAGCTCTTTCTTTTTTTAAAACCTTTTTTTTCCTCGAGATTGATTTGATTATTGGCAAATCAAAAATTCGAAGGTTTTTCGAAACGAGTCTAGTTATCTATAATTATATATATATATATATATATATATATATAAAGAGAGAGGGAGGGAGTTTGATGTGTCTGTCTAGCGACATGTCAACTCCTCGTGGGTCATTTAATGCCGAAATTTATTTTTCTCGTGAAGCTTGGAAGCTTGGAAATAATAAATATGTGATATATGTTATTCAGCTTTCAAAATTGATTACATGGTAGATGATGTTCAGCCTTTGTGCATATGCATGTTTGTGTGGGTGGTGATATATGTGTTTTATGTTGTAGTTTTGTTGAAGTTATATTTTCGAATACAGTTTGAGTTTGATAAGAAATGGTGGGATATTATATAGATTGATGTCATGAAAGAGTTCTTTCATCATGGTTGTTTGCTAGCATTTAAACGAATTTGGGTGAAATCGCTAGAACTTGTTAGTATGTGCGTATTGTTGGTAATTTTATTATAAAAATGTATATTTATACTTTCATGGTGTTTCGTTTTTGTTTGGTGGGGTAGCTTTGCTCATAGCTGAAACCTAACGGTTGTTACCAACCCAGGTCACGGTGAACCCGTGAACAATAGCAATTAAGAGATGCTTCTACGCTCCTCAAAACATTCATATCCCAATCATGGATGCCGGATGTAGTTTATCGTCATACCCAAGACTAGAGAGGGGGGCCATCAGTCCGGCCATATCTATCTATTTATAGGACTGTCTTTATATATATATATATATCTGTGTGTGTAAATGTATATATATATATAAAGAGAGAGGGAGAGGAGGTCTAACTGTTGATCTGTCTGTTCAGATTTCTCTATCTCAGTCAATTCATATCCATCACGTTCTCTTTATGTCTATCTATCTATCTCAGATTTTTCATATCTCCTTATCTATCAATTTCATTCTATTTATATTTATCTCCGCATTTTCATATATAATTCCATTATCAATCTATCTACCTCTTTACACACACATAGACACACGCGTATATATATATATATATATATATGCCTATTCATATCAAGCTCTTGGTCTGTCTGTTCATATCTCTCTATCTGTTCATATTTATCTCAATCTATTGATATCTATCTCATGTTGTACATATATATCTCATTCTGCTCATGTCTCTCAAACTATCACAGATTTTTCATAACTCCCAATCTATACATCTCAATCTGCTTATATCTATCTATCTCAGTCTATTTATATCTAATTCCGTTATCTGTCTGTTCATATCTACCTATCTGTCTATCTATCTATTTATTTGCTCGTTTGTCTTCTTAACACAAACTCTGCAATAGACCCAACCAAGCAACATGCCTGTCAATAATCAAGTACAAGGAATCTGATGTCATCAATTGAGATATCTCCACAACGTCATGTGTATGAATGCACCTGAAACAAACTACTTCAGCCTCTGCTATGTTTGTGCATGCGCACGAACTGAGAAGAAGAAAAAGGAAGCAATCAGTCGGCGCGTGGCAGTCGGCCATGTTGGAGTAATAAGGTTTCACCGAGCCAATAAATGAAACGGAACTGTGGGATACTTTGTTGAACAACAGAATTATTGGCGTAAAGAAAATCAAATATCTCCCCCCCCACCGCCTGACTCTTACTTTCGCTACATAGTTTCCTCCTCCTCCTCTCGATCAATGTATCTATCAACCCACTTCAACCCGATCTGCCAATCAATCAATATATACATATGTGTGTGGCGGGAGGTGACTCTTGTATCTTATAGATTGATTTATCTATCTTTCTAGTCTGGTGTCCAACTTATTTTTGCTCTGAAATAACCAAGATAATATTATATCACTTGAAATTTTATAAAGTGGTTATTTCGTTGACTCTACCACGCAGGCAGGCACAAAAATACTATGAAGCACTTCCTGACTGAATGTGGTGATTTTGCTGTCCCTAGATAGAAATCTTATCGCGCAAGGATGATCAGAGACTTGTTCGAAAATGTCTCTCCTTCATAAAATAAGTAAATACGTGCTCCAAATTATGACAGTTTAACAAGACATTTGTTGTTCGAGTATTATTAGTACTAAATTCATAAAACATTAAAAATAATTATGAAAATATTTTATTCTAATTAATATAGAATTTTTAACTGTTTAAGCATTTAAAATCATTGTTATTTTTTCTGATAATTTCAATTCTGAATAGAAATGAATAAAAATAATAATAAATAAAACTTACTGTTGTCCATATCTTTATTGCCATATTCACGATGTTTCGGCCGTTGTACGCTCGACTTTTTCAGGTCATTGAAATTTCGAACTGAGTCCTTTATTTTGTCCACTGGGATAGATTGTTCTAGTTCCACGTGCCACGCTTTTTCTCAGTTATCCCCTTTTTATTTACCACAACGCTTTTGGTTCAAGTCACTGGATCCAAGCAACGCTTTTATCCACTTTTACATTTTGTATTCATCAATTTCGAAGACTGAATCCAAGTTTTTGTATTAATTTTTATACTTAGCCGACTTAGGATATTTTTGTGGCCTAGCATATGTGCTGATTCGAAAGTTTTCGTATCTTCCAGTGATGTTCTCTGTCTATTATTTCAACCTCATCCCACAGGGGGAGATGATCTCTCTTTTTCCGCTATATGTGGTTAGCTACGCCTGATAAATAAAGGATTCAGTTCTAAATTCCGATCATCTGAAAAAGGCCGGAACGAACAACGGCTGAAACGTCATGAATATAGCAATAAAGATGAGGAAAACAGTCTGAACAATGTAAATAATCACAATACTTCATCTCAGAAATATAGAGTGAAATAAATAATAATTAAAATTAATATACAAGGTTTTGGAAAAGTAACGCCCTTTTTTTGGTTGCAGACGAATAACGCATTTTTATTAGTTCGGAGAATGTAAAGCAGCTTTTTATAAGTTTTCAACTGTATAAATTTGGAATTTTTTAGTTTTATATTATACTAGTCTACTCGTGAACCGTAGGGCCACTGACGGTTCAGGTTATAAAACATTGAAATTGATTTCAACATTCCATTGAAATGAAAGTTAATTTTATTAGGATTCAATTAAATATTTCAATTCGTTCATGTCATCATTGGTTTGGTTTACAAGTTCATGTTTAACGTTTTACTGGTTGTTTCCAGTATTTAATAGGAATAGAACTTCCGGGATAAACTTGAAATTTAAATCAGATTAACTTAAAAATATTTCTTAATATGACAAAAATATTTTTAAATCATATTCACTTAAAAATATTTTTAAATATGCCAAAAAATGTTTTTTTAAATATTTAAAATATTCTATGTGTTAAAGAAAACTGAAATATAAATAATTACTCTACAGACAACTGGACGAAAGTGCAAAGCAGCATCTCTTTGTGACTGTTTATAATTTAAAAATATTTTAATTAAAAAAAATTTCTGTTTGAAGAAAGTTAAATAAAATGCTTACTGTATAAAAAAAAAAACTCGTATGTTTAAATCTTATTCACTTAAATCAAATTAACTTAAATTAGTATGCGCCGGACAGACGCACCACACAAGCACGCTCGCAGTCAAAGAGAGTTGGAAAGAGAGTGGTGGAAAGAGTGTGATGGAAAGAGAGAGAGGTGGAAAAAGAGAGGTGGAAAGAAACTTAAATCACGTGCCGGACAACGGCGTACTATGCAAACACGAATCACAGACTTTTAGATAATTTTGTATATAAAATTTCGAGCTGAAGATGCTAGGACGATATGAAGTATGTTTGTGTCCATCACGATCACCAAACATAACACCAACAGACATTTTCTTGTGGGGTTGTACTGAAATAATTTTTTTTACAGGATCAAACCGGGAACAATTCCTGACTTACAAGAAATTTATGATAAATTTTCTGAAATTAATGTAGAACTGCGTCAAATGGTTTATGGAAGTGTTGCTAATAGTATTGAACATGAAATAGAGCATTTTGAACATGTTAAATGATTTGTTAATCATAACAAATCATGTTATTTTGATCTGAAAATACTTATAAATTTTCTGAAATTAATGTAATTTATTTTTGTTCATTTAAAGGTAATAAAGAGTAAGAGCGTTACTACTTTTACTGCACACTGTATAATAAAGAAAAAAATGAATTTGACATTAGATATCGCATCATGGGTTGATCTGAGGTAAAATCAGCCAACCTAACCTAACAATCCATGCAGATGTCAATGAGCCAAGTAATTCTTTTTTTTATGAGATCAACTTGTTCAATCTTTGCATTGTAGGAAGAGAACAAACCTTATTACTTGCTTTTGTTTTTTTGCTTTCACGATATTTTTTGCCATGATCTCTTCTGCTTATGTGATTTGTGATTTGTCAATTCAACTAGACATGTGCAGGTGGTGCAATGATTAAAGACTCAGAACATGAAATCGGCGAATCGAGTTCAAATCCATTCGAAATCGTTGCATTCACATTCACACAAATAGCCTTGGGAAAGATATGAATCTATATTTTCTACCCCACTCAACAACCAAGGCTAGCTTAGTCTGGACTCTCTAGCCGCGGTTGGTAACCAGAATAAGAGAATACAATTCAGAATTCAAAACTGAATATAGCCCCGGTGATATGTAACTAAGGTCCACTCAGTAGAGTCTCAGTATAAACCACATGTTGACTCTTTGAGTGATGGAGAAATACAAATGGACATGAGCAGATAGGCATGCTTGAAAACAAACAGCCATGATGAAGACGAGAAATCACACTGAACTGATATCCTTATTTACAGCTATTATTTGTGTTTGTCATTCCCTTTCACACAAGTACAAAATATATCAGCTTGCTCCGAAAGTAATGCAGTCTATTATATTATGTTGGCTTACATAATCAGAGGGAGATTATTGTGTAAACTGTTCTCTCGAGTAATTTGTAACACATCATCTCTCAGTTGCGTCTGTGTCTTTGGACAGAGTGAGCTCAGGAGCGGTTCCGTCAAAGGACAGAGTCACAACTTTATACTGAAAGGTGCCCAGCTCTGGGAAACAGCTGCCTGGGGACGCGCCTTATTGCACCAGAGAGAAGGATCGGTGCTCGCACCGAGGCTAGCGCAACCGACGATTGCGTGGGGTTGCGGGAAATTTTTGTTCCTAGCCCGAGTGTGCGCGGCCGGGTCCACACCTTAAAACTGACATTGTGTCACAACTCGTCTTAGTGAGGAGACAGAATAGATTATGGTGCTTAGCCACTAGAATCTGATACTTCCCGCGAACAACTTGTCTTTTTTGCCTTTTTACAGCTGGTAGGTCTCCAGCTCCATTAGGATAGTCTCACTGTAGAAGTTAACTGAATCCGATGAGAAAACATACCTTTGGATTATGCCCCTTTCTATTTTAGTGCACCAAATTCATTTTCTATTCGTATGCTGGAGATCTTAGTCGAGTTGAGAACTTTTCAACACCCCCCCACCTCACATGTGCATAAAAGATAGATATGCCTTTGTATCTGTTCATTTATACACATGACTATTTTTCTGTTATTTGCGTCGTGTATTCTGACGTGCTCGTAAAGTAAAAAGCAGTCAACCTAAATTGCGATTTTTTTACTCAATAGCCAACGAATATTTTTACTCTATCGTCTGTAACTGTTCTTTTTTCTATTCGTTTTTACTCACAATGAAGCGAGACATATTGGATTAGAAGTAAGAAATATGGCTATACCCCAAACGCTCTGTGAATATATGTATATATTTCATCGAGTTTTTATTTTAGACTCGTTCCGATAATTTTCTCTACAAGAATTTTTTTCTTCGTTTTTATTCCCAAGGAAACCAGTCATTGCTGCTGATCAAGTGGTGAACGGGAAGTCTGATGGGCTGCGTTCGCTGTTGCTGATGCTGCTGTTGTTGCTGCAGAATAGAAAGGAAAACGTAGCGGGAAAGAGAGAGAGAAGTTTAAAGAATTATTGATTGTTGGATTGCACAATGGCGGAATCGAGTTGAAGAAAATAAGAACGCGTTGTACGTCATGGCCGTCGATGAGACGGACTGTCTTAATTGCAATGGAAGGCTATCGATTTTAAAAGATACACACGCATATACACAGGCATGCATAAATTGGTGGGTGAACGAATATGTGACATAAATGATTTACATTAATCTCCACCACGCACCCCACCTTCCGCGGATACGGGCAAACAGAAAAGAAAAATGGCGGAAACACGATTGTTAATTATCTCCCAGAGCGCGTGCGCTGTGCGCTTATGACCAAATGCACACGCACACACACACACACACACACACACACACACACACACACACACAGACGCAAACACACATATAAATATATACATATTTTTACACACATACATATACGTGTGTGTGAGAGAGAAACAGAGAGAAAGAGTTGACATCTGTGCATTTTTATCGGTGTACATTTATATAAAAACGTTGCATTCATGTATGTGCGTGTCTGTGCATTTATGTATACGTGAGCCAGCGAATGTCTGTGAGAAAAGGTATACACGTATGGCAGTTATTCTCCTTAGTGCCTCAACGGCATACATTTAATCGTACTACTAAATTGTCAACTATCTCCCACCTTTTTACTATTAAACTATCTAGTTGCAATTGTTTGTTCTATTCTAATAGTTTATTATGTTGTACTTCCCGTCCGAGGAACTCTATTCCACTTTGTTGCTTCCCTGAAACAAGATCAGCGTCAAAATTATAATCTTTGTCCCTTCTCCACACTAAAGCCTTCTCCTGCTCTTTCACTCCCAGTAACCCCTTGCGTCTTACTCGCTTTATCGCCTT